GAGTGTATCCATAGATGTATGTGTGCGTGTTAGCGTCTATACGCAATACCGGTCCTAAATAAGAGTTGTCAAAAGGCTAATGTCAGGTGCTGATCATCAAGGCTTAATGACCCAAGAGAAAGCCCTGACAGACTGCGTAAGTCCTTAAGCGAGTATGGTTGAACTAATGAATTATGAGTTTGTAAGCCTGAAAATCAAGTCACAAAGCCACTTGTCCTAACCTTTCAGTCTAGGGTCATTAACGTTTAACCCCCCAAGAAAAGGCAAGATTGGGGTTGCGTAATCTGACATTTCTCGTTAGGTTGATGAACTTACTCTAACATGTTGGACGAATGTGAGTGAAATTAGAACCATCACCGAGCAGACAAATTGACGGCGGCTCCACACCCTCTCTTTCCTTCAATCTTTCAATCAAGCATAAGTAATTTCTACCCTAACCACAGTTCTTCATATTCAACGTATTTCCTAAGCTATTAATTTCAATGACCTCTCTTATCTTTCTTTTAGCCACAGATGTACCATAATCAACAAACCTACTAGTTTGAGACCATTATATTCCATGTCCAGTTTCTACCATATGTTCGACCACTTATGACCGCTAGATCCAGCTTCCCTTGCAAGCATTTTTGTGTTCTCACCAACATAACATCGACTACATGAGCAAACAATCTTGTAGCAGCCGGATCTCGATAATGGGTCATATTTCTCTAAAAGATGGCATAACAGAAAAAAGTGTGAGGGTTTCTTTGAACACTGTTTTTATGCCCCACTGCTTTATTAATTCACCTATATTTTTTAAAGGAAGGTTAATTTAGCCCCAATCAATCCTATCGCCTCAAACCAAGATGAATATTTTTAACACTACTATCCTTTCCTTTTCGATCTGTTGATTAGAAATGGATATGAGAGAAGGCATGCCTTCCCTCAAAAACGATAGGTGAATTAGTAAAGAAGTGGGGCATAAAAACAGTGTTCAAAGGAACCCTCACTTTCTTCTCTTGTGCCATCTTTTAAAGAGAAATATAACCTATTATTAAGATCCTGCTGCTACAAGATTGTTTGCTCATATGGTCAGTGTTTTATTTTGGTGAGACATGCCGACCTATTCGACAAAGATTGGGAGAACACCAAAATGCTTGCCAAGGAAGCTGGATTTAACGGTCGGAAGTGACCGAACATATGGTAGAAACTGGATTTGAAATAGAATGGTCTCAAACTAGTAGGTTCGCTGAGTATGGAACATCTTTGACTAAAAGAAAGATAAGGCTATTGAAATTAATAGCTTAGGAAATACGTTGAATATGAGGAACTGTGGTAGAAAGTTAAGTAGAAACTATTTATCGAAGGTATGAAGACCAAGATGGTGTGGCCTTAGTGTCGTTGCAGTCTCCTTTCGTTGTATATAGATTGTTTGACCTTGGAACGCACCTAGTTCGGGGTCCATTGTCTGCATGATCATTTCCAAAGTTGAACCCCAATCTTGCCTTTCCTTGGGGGGTTAAACGTTAATGACCCTAGACTGAAAGGTTAGGACAAGTGGTTTCGTGACTTGATTTTCAGGCTTACAAGCTCATAATTCATTATCTCAACAATACTCGCTTAAGGACTTACGCAGTCTCAGTCAGGGCTTTCTCTTGGGTCATTAAGCCTTGATAATCAGCACCTGACATTAGCCTTTTGACAACTCTTATTTAAGACCGGTATTGCGTATAGACCCTAACACGCACACATACACCTACGAATACACTGAAACAAAAGTAACAGGACTAGTATGAAAGATAATTAACCAAACCACTCTATATCAATCTATCTAGGTTTTTAATTTTCTTTTGGCTTAATTGAGTCTATATAAGAAGTAAGATAGAGCCGAATAGTGTTCTTGCCCTAGTGTTAACGTGAGACTTACAAGAATGACACCCAGCTCTGATGATGTTCATCATATGATAGACGAAGGCTCAGCACGTTTTCACCTGAAACGAGGGAGGAAGTCTCGTGGACTGGGTCAACATGAATATCGTATAAAAGCCAAATGGCTGCAGTATAACGAGATTTATCCGTCCTCATCTGGTGAGATCGTTCAACGAATCTCTTCTTCATTTATTTTCATATGAAATGAAAGTCCTCCTAACAATGTTATCTCAAGAGATCCATCGAAACACAGTTTCTCATCCTATCTTAAAATAGTAGGACATTTTCATCCTTTGAGCTTCATCTACTACTTAAATTATCATCCCCAATATATCTCTGGCATGCGGCTTATTCTAAAAGACCACTAGTGGTTCCACTTTTGTTTTGTCACCGCCAGGTTAGACGAAGGTCTCGTATTGGCCTACAGGGTCGTTAATGCAGAACATTAAGTGCCATGAGAAGCGTTTTAGTTTACTTGCTTCGGAATCTTAGATACTATTTACCCATCCTAAGTTGGTGAATTTTTTTGTACTTCATTTTCTATCCTATCCTTATTCTGTGCTGTTTTCCCTTATTTTTTTTCTATTCGCAGGTCACTCGATACCCAAATTCAGACCACTCTTAGCCCATCATCGCCCTCCATTAATCCAGAAAATGTTACAATTCGTTCTGATAAGGCTAAACTAAGTACGAATCACTTTACAACAATCGAATATCCATCTGCCTTCAGAACAGGGACCGAGGCAACTAGCTCTTCATCTCGTTCCCGAGGGACTCTTATCACTGCCGTAAATGACTCGATAGGAGGGCTTTCGGTAAGCTCTGCTTCAGCTCGTCCCTCGCTCCCACAAATTCTTCAGTCACCTCGCCACCTCTGTTATAACGTTAACCTGTCCTCCAATAGTCGTAGAGATACTGCCTTGCCGTTGGAGAAGCGGGCTCGGACCAAAAGTGGTGACGGCTGCATCTACGAGCATCAAAGCAAATTCCCGGGTGAGAAGTGGCCAGTAGACCGCTCTTCAGCCAACCCTAGACCTATCAACTCTGCAAATACTAACTCACTTGGTCTGCAATCACCAGAATTGTCATCAGGCACTGGTTTAAATCAAAAGGTGAAATCATTATCAGCTTCGTTAGACTGCCGACCGATATCCATGTACCTGCCTGGTTCTGCTTGGCCTGTCGCTCCTCGTCATTTGCACTGCTCAGATCATACTGGGCCGGTGCCAGTATCATGTGGACGCTTCGTCAAATCGACGACAGACTTTAATAAACCGACCGTATCCTGCTTAGAGCAGACCCAAAGTCCTATAAATGTTACTGACTCCTCTCCATCCCTGTCAGCATATCCTGTCCCAGAGATGCGACCAATCAAGAACGATATACACTCAGATTTAGTTCAAAATTTCAGGTGACTAAATCATGATCAAAATCTAAAGGCTTAAGAATTTTTTTTTTTTACCATAAGTAGGGTGTGATTAACAATTATTGTTATAGATTAATTCTGTGTATGTCTTTATCACTTTTAGAAATACGAAAATTATATCAAAATCATTGCTCCTACGCACGTCGTCCCGTAACCCCGATGAATCCGTCCTGAGCTTTCTTCTTTCATAAGAGGTTATCTGAACACAAAATAGCCTACAAAGGTTTGCAGGTCCAAAAGCCAGAACTGAGCGGACAAATGGCTCACCCGATCAAAAATTTAGATGATTTAGTTTAGGATGCAGTTCTTCACTTAACTGAATTCCTCTTCATTCGTCATCCGCCACAGCTCTATTTATCCGCAAATATGTAGGCAAAGCATAGATTAGCCTCATTAAGTGTGCAAAATCGTGCTATAATAAGTAGGTAGGATCGCATCCGGCCATCTTTCTTATTTTAGAGCTTAGCGAACTTTCGTAAAGCATGCTTTCATGCCTTGACGATGTCTATAAAATGGCAGTTGAAAGCTCAGCATTGATTTATTGGGTTTATGGACGCTGTGCCTATGACTTATTTGTACAAATCTACAGTCAACTCCAAAGCAACTTTTTTTCAACTGCTGCTTAAGCAAATTTATCTTCTACTTGCCTCGTCAAGCAAAACGATAGGCAGCCATCACAAGTCCATAAGCTTATATGAACTTGTAATTTTGTCTTTTTGCGAAGAAAAGTTGGGTTTCGAAGAATCTCTTGTTTCATAATTGTTGAGCTTACTTTCATTTCGACTCGAAATTGAAGTAAGCTCAACAATTTTGTCTTTTTGCCAGAGTAGAACTTATCATCACAAAATCGTTGAAGGAAAAGCAGTAACGTAATTATTAATCGATATTGAGGCTCTAGTACAGTTTGTCTTTAATCATTATCCTTAACCACCTTATCATTATCAATAATGGTTTTGCTCTTTTTCCAGTTCTGAACCGCATCACGCTTCATCTTCCCCACCCATATTCGACTTAGCAACATCTGTCCAGCCTATTAATCACGGCGATCCGATCACCTCTTTAACTCTACCAATTTGCCCTAATTCCTTAGAAGAGTCTTCCACTTCGCATGCACATTCTCTCCAAATTGGATTGCGTTCCAGCGATTACGCCTCCTCTCCGGCCAAGCCATCCGAAAACTCGCCATCCACTCCATTGCTTCGATTACAAACTTCATCCATATCTGCCTACAAGTTAGAAAGGTCCAGGGAACCAAGTTGGGTTCAAGTCGATTCTCCAATTTATCAGTCTTACTTGCCAGTAAATATGGCATCTACACCTGCATTGTCGCCATTGCGGTCAACCAAGCAGCCCCGGAATCTTCAGTGTAGAAAGACCTCTCATTATATACAGGACGGCCAAACGCTGGAACCACCCGCAAAGCCGGCCTGGCAAGTCACTAGCACTTCGGGCAAAGCAGATTTAGGAATTAAGACTAGTTTTCTCCTGAAGACTGGCGTAAACGGGAAAAGTGGAAGCAGTAGTACTATTATGACTGGCGGCAACTCTAGGTGGATTAAAGAGGAAAAAGCACTACCTTCTATTCGTAAAGGTTGGCCATTTTAAAATATCACTTTTTTTTAATGCAGAGCAGGCTTGATAGCCTTGAGACTATTTATGGATCTGACATCTTAATTGATTCGTGAACATCGCGTAGATGTAAAAAGGATAATACCACACATTAGAACATGCAATGAAATTGTAGGGTCACACTTAATTATTTATTAAGAGAAAAAGTTGTTGTACATTGACATCGACTTCACCTACCTGCAAGCATTTAGGGTGTAAGAAATAGCTAGGCAAAGTCGCTTTTACCTTCTGGTTACTGTGGAAAATCAGTCAGCCTATCATATTTGTATCATCCTCGACCAATAACTTAATTTCCAAGGTGTATACTTTGGTCAAAATAAATTCGTTGAAATCTTATTTATGAGGGCATTTTTAAATTACACTCTTGCTATCACCATTTGAGAAATATATCGATGCTTATACTGTTGTAAGACCAAACTATCAAGACGATAAAACCTTTGGCATGATTCGCCTTATTTCTATAAGAATGACACAATGGGACCATGTCCTAGGAACGATAATAAAGCTAGGAATCGTAATAGATGTGGTGTTGAAGTTGTATAGTAATCGGTTGATTGTGATATACATTAAGCTTTTATGTGCGTCTGCGATGTAGGTAGATGAGGAAGATAGCAGAAGAAAGGATTGGAATAAAGCAATCAGGATAGCTGTCAGAGCGACGTAGTCACGTATAAGACGTCACGATAGGAAACTGAGGAGACAATGCGGATAAGCAGCGTTGATCTGAGGTCGGTCCTATAGTAAAGTCACCTATCTTCTGCGAAGCAAGGCTATCTGTTTTCATTGAGGGGTATTGCATCGGACATAGATGCTGGGTCAGCAAGGTGCTTACACGGAAGTCCGACCGACATTCTCATCTGGAGAAGCCTCCTACTGCAGTGGCAGCATGCCTAATTTTCATTTGTAGTATAAAGGCATCATCAGAGCCAGAACTCATTCTTGTAACGATTTAAGGCCTACCCCAATTCAAGAAAACTAAGCATTCTATTTATACGTAGATATGAAACCAAGATGCTGAAGCCTCTATTTTGGTTGTAGTCTCCTTTCGATGTATAGAAGTTGTCTGACCTCATTTTTGGAAGTTGGTCATGTTGTCAGAGCGATACAGTTTGATGCACTTTGTCTGACCTTTATTATAGTAATTATCATT